TGAAGCGTTTTCTCATACAGAAAGATCTTTAGCTTATTTGCTTATTCACATCTTGCCCATTCTGTAAGATTGGAACAGTGCAGGCACTTCTGGAATAAATTGACTTCTCCCAGGCATTTTATACAGGAGGAGTGATTGTCAGAGGTGGGCATGGAGCCTCTGCATGAACCACACCCTCTGAATCCTGATGAACCAGTCATATCGAACTGGGGAGAAAACACAGGAAAACAAACTTTTTTTTAAAAGGGAATTCTTTTTTTGTTTGTTTTTGGGTTTTTTTTTCTTTGACAAAAAAACAGGGAAGAAGGGACTGAAAGCATGGAAAAGGGTGAAAACTGAGGAACTTTTCAAACTGTTTTGTCATTTTACGCCAGTGTTTCCCAATTTTTTTTGACCACGGAACCCTTTCAAACTCAGAAAAATTTCAAGGAACCCCCTAACCAGGGATTAAGTTTATCGAGTTAAAAAAAAAAAAAATCACACCCAAACACACACAGACTGCCAGTACACCACAATTGGTAGTAATAAGATGCTTTTTCCGGTGGTAAAAGCAGAGCGGCAGCGGGGGACGTGGGAGAGGGATCTTGGGTTGATCGGGCAGAAGTGGGACAAGCAACTGTTGCTGCTGCTAGGTCCAGTGGTAAAAGCAGAGCGGCAGCGGGGGACGCGGGAGATGTCTGAAAGGGGAGCGGGGAAGGAGCCAGCGTCTTTGGACGCCGGGCTCCTCTGTCTCTTTATGGGCGGGGGGAGGGGAGTGTTCGGGTTCTCGCGGAACCCTTACGTTTGCTTCACGGAACCCTGGGGTTCCGCGGAGCACCATTTGGGAAACACTGGGTTAAGGTAAACCAAAAAGTTAAGTAGGATTGTTGTAAGCAAGACATGAGAAATAATTCCACTTTTCTCAGTGCTGATTAGACATCAACTGGAGTACAGTCACTCCCTGACTTATGAACACACCGACTTACGACCAACCTCCCATTAACCCCATTATTATAATTTCTAGGTGAGACCCATGTAAGTCAAGCTTTTCGGGCAGCATGTTTAAGGGTATTTCCGACTTACAACCAAGTTGTTACAACCAGGTGTTCGGAATGTTACCCGTTTGTAAGTCGGGGACTGCCTGCGTAGTGGGTGCCACATTTCAGGGAAGATGTGGAAAAATTGGAGCAAGTCCAGAGAAGAGCAACAAAAATGATTAAAGGTCTGGAAAACGTGAGCTATGAAAGAAGATTGGAAAAAAGTGTTTTTACAAGGAGGAGGGGGGAAATCTCTGATATAGGACAAGAAACAATGAGCTTAAATTGCAGCAAGGGAGGTTTAAATTGGATGTTAGGAACAACTTCCTAACTGTCAGGGTGTTTAAGCACTGGAATAAATTGCTTAGGGAAGTCGTGGAATCTGAATGTTAAGCTGACATGGTTCCTTCTGAAGAGTTACAAGACGATTAATGCCCCTGCTTCAAGGCATAACTGATTAGTTTGAATTGAAAAGAAATGACTTTGCTTTATGATATAGTATTCCGTTATGGGACTCTTTGGCTACGTCTAGACTGGCCCCTTCTCCGGAAGAGGCGTGCAAAGCAGGCAAGTCAGAATAGGGAAGTCCGCGGGGGATTTAAATATCCCCCGCGGGATTTAAATAAACATGTCCGCCGCTTTTTTTCCGGCTTGGGGAAAAGCCAGAAAAGAGTGTCTAGACTGGCACGATCCTCCGGAATAAAGCCCTTTTCCGGAGGATCTCCTATTCCTACCTTCAGGTAGGAAATAGAGGCAGCAAAGGCCGGGGGTGGAGGGAGGAGTACTTCAAAGTGGCAGTGCTGCACAGAATTGTGTGGAGGTGGTGTTTTAAAGGGGTAGCTGCCGTTGAGCCTGGGCTTAGCTGGGAACTCCCCAGCTGAGCCCAGGCTCCCCTGCCTCCCCTTTGAATCATGCGGACCAGCTTTGTGGCCGCTGCCCCTTTGAAACTGCTGCCTCAGTGCAGGGGAGCGCATAGCATAGAGCCCGGGGTCAGGGGGGATCCCCCACTGACCCTGGCCTCCATAGCTTTGAAATGTACAAGAGCCCCCTCTGGGGACTCTTGTATATTTTTCAAAGAAGGCACCCTCGTGGAGCCTGGAGTCAGCAGGACTGCCCGCTGGCCCCAGGCTGTAGGTGGAGTTCTACATTCCTCCTGGGACTCTTGTACATTTCAAAGGAGGAATGCGGAAGTGCCTATTGACTAGTCGATGGAAATTCCATCGACTAGTCAATTAACCGCATTTTAATATCCTTAAACTAGAAGAGATTTGGGATTAGCTAGATAACACTGTAAATCTTGTGATGGCAAGGTAAATTGGGCCCTTTTGGGGCCGAAAGAGTCTGCCATGGGTAAGCACCAGGGCTGGTCAGACTATATTTTTTTAATAAGGCCTTGATTACCTTTAAAATTCTTCAGTACTACCTTGTACAGTATCCTTTGGCAGCTTATTTGTATGGAATGTGCAAATACCTTGTTGGAGCAAATGTGTGCAAGTCTAGGCTGTTGCTAACAAGTCTTCTCATTTACAGAAATCTACCGCATCGTGTCTCAGAAGCAGATTGCAGATCGATCTGCACACGATGAGTCTCCCGGCAACAATGTAGTTGATATCAGTGTTCCTCCAACCACCGATGGACAGAAATCCAACAAACTCCAGTGCTGTCAGAACCTGTGACCTCCTGTAGATGCTGTCTGTGCTTCAGTTAGAAACGTGTATGGGCTTCTTTCAAGTATTTCCTGTGATTCAGTGACTCCCTGTGTAACTCTTCTCCACTCCCCGCCCCAGGCCCCTTCTTTCATCTTAGAGCTTTAACTGTAGGGCTAACATTCCCCTGCCACTGAAATTCCCATTTGAATGTGATGACTTTTTTGGGCTTGAAATGTAGGCACTGATCTGGTAGGCATACTTGTTGTAGAACATCTGCTGCTGGATAGTATTCCATGAAGCACTCTCCTCCTAATGGCTGAAGAAATATCTACATTTAAGTTTTCATTTTTTCAATGTCAGACTTTCTCACGGCCCTTATGTTTCTGTAAACGGAAGAAATTTAAAAGAAAATATCTAATCTACTAAATGTTCTGTTTCTCTGTCCAGATGAAGTATCAGAGTGAAGTTTTTAGTGGCTGCACATGAGTGGTATTGAAAATAGCCTTACTAGTTATGAAATTCCCTTGAATGCAGATGTAGTCTGGCTGTGCAGTTTTACTATTTCCGGTCTGGGGAATCTTCCTTCTTAATTTGTTTTATTTGGGATCAATGAAGTATGTCTGCATTGCATTATTTGCCATGATGGATGCCTGTTCAGCTGAGTGCAGGCAGTATGAAGTGGCTTAATATTTATTCTTGGCTTATTAACAAACATTAATGTACAGTAAGTGCCAGCATATTAATTTTAAGGTCTCTTTGAAAGCTGTAGAACTAGATTCATTTTATTCTGTAGAATCAGTGTCTGGAGGAGAAATCCTCTCTAGTCCCAGAATTTTTTTGCATGCTGCTTTCTCACTAGGTCTTTCCCTCAATCTGTTTGAGTGAGAGTAAAGCAATATTTTCATGTTCTGTACATACCTGCACTTGTAAGCTTTTTGGTTTGTTGTTAGAGAAACACAATTCTTTATACATTTTGTAAAACTTATGTCCAATCATAGCATCTTGGATTTTCTTTCCATTATCTTTCACTGTTGACCTTGTGCCCCACTTTTTTTTGTCTTGACCTCTACTAAACTGGATAAGATCCTGAGTAGTACACACAGTCCTGCTACTTCACGCTTAGCCTATTTTCTGAATCGCAGGCTGTAAATTCCAAACAACTATAATTCATGTGATATGACTGATTCTGTTATCAGTAGGGCCAACAACTATAACATGTACATGTCAGTCACTTGCTAGCTTGTGAAAACCCTTTGGGGAACACTCCATCAGTCACCAACTCTAGTATTGTTGCATCTTAGCAGTGGACAGTTTTGTGCTGAGAACGAGATGTGGGGAATACCATCTGTTCTGTATGGGCTAGCTAAAGCAGCTCGTGGAGTGCGGGGTTGGGGGGTTGCTGTATATTGCTTTCAAATGCTGAGTCCATGCCTCACTTGACACACCCTAACTTGCATGTCAGTGAGGGATTTTTTTGATAAAGTGAATCCGAAACTGTACATTGTGTGTTTGCAGGGATTGACATTCCAGTGTCAACTGTCTTGTATCTGGTAATGTAATGCAGCTAAGGGCAGTTAACTCTGGCTTTTTTCTTTGTACAGTGTCCAGCCATATGCATTTCCTTTGGTCTACAATTCAGTTTTAAGCTAAGTAGTTAAATGGTCTCAGTACTTAACTTATCATAAATTCTTTAAGTTTGTTTTCTAGTGTGTTCACCACGGTTTTTTGCCAGGATTTAGGTCAGGTGGTGGGATTACGTTCCATGTGACCCGTCCCTATTTGATGGGGAAGGTGTTTAATCCCTCCTGGTAAAGATGGGGAGCTGTCCCAGCACTGGAAGCCACTAGCACTAACACCCCCCTAAGATTAGTACTCCTACCAAGCCTGAACGGGAGCCTTCTCTTTTCTGATGGGTCTGACTGTGTGGGACTCGCCATTAGTATTTAGAGGCTGGCTGGGGAAGCACACAGTAACGAAAATATTCCTTACAGCAGTTTGAAATACTGCTTTCAAGAGCAGGCAACCACTTCTGGAGCTGGAGTCTTACTACTAGTTTTCTGAAAGAGCTTTCAACAGCACATGGTATAAAGGAGTGGGGAGTAGTCCCAGAGTACATCCAATGTCTTGAGGAAGAATTGTACTGTTGAGAGAGGCCTTAGTTCCTGGTAACTTGCTACTACAGGTTGAACCTCTCTGGTCCAGCAACATCCATGGTCCTATTGGATGTTGCTGGACAAGGGAGCAGCAGAGCTCCGGTGACCCCTGGGGCTGACTGCAGAGCCTGACAATTTGCTGGGAGAGCTCAGAATCCACAAGCAGAGGAGCCATCCTCCCCTGGTCCAGCACCCTCAGAAACTCCTTTGGTCCCGGAATTGGGAGGTCTAACCTGTAACATGGTGATTATTCTGCAAGGCCTTTGTTTCTAAAGGTGACTATTATCACCTAAACAAGACGACGAAGTGGTGAGGGCTTTTCTGGCTAGTTGAGAGAAGCAGTAAGCATCATGATCCAGTTAAATCCCTAGGCTCTGGAATAGAAACATTTTGACTCCTGGGATTTGTGCATAGCTTTAGGATTTGTCTCAATGCTCTAATAAAAGGACCTTGTCCAGGACATGGGTCTTTCCATCTGTCCTAAGAGGTCCTACCATAATGATCTGCAGTTGTGGACCCACTGATCACTTCCCTAGTACCAGGGGAGTAGGTGGACAAGGAGGGGGCTACTCCTGAGAACTGACTTGTGGTTTGTAGGGGATGCAGAGTGAGGTGGAAATGATTTTGCTTAAGGTATTCCCAAGGCCTGTAGCATGAGAGAAAGGACACTTGCTGTAGTTTTAATCTTAATAGCCATCAAATGTTTTCCCATGCACAGATGTGAAACCTTAATGGGGTTACCTTGTGATCTAAAGTATCTTGATTCTACCCCATGGCAATTCCATACGTGTCTGAAATGCAATACGAATACCGAGCACTGCAGGTGCCTGCGGGTGGAGTCGATGCAGAGGAGAGTTAGACAAAGGAAACTTTCTGAGAGTCAGACCGGGACCAGCTAGAACGAACAAACACAAATAGTCTGCACCACTGCACAACTTATCACTACATTTTCTTGATGTGAAAAAATTGAGCTCTGCTTAGCTGCAGCATAACCTCATTAGCACCATGTCCCAAAGCTGTAATGCAAGGAAAAACAAGGGCTCCGCTTCTGCCCTCAGTCACTTGTGCCTATTGGGGATCTTTGTCACCAAGAACAAAATTTGTGTCTACTCCTTGTTATATGAAGCTGCTGCTCAAGGAAGCAGCTAGGTTCTGTGGGAGTTAAATCTTCACAAAGCTTGTTCCCCGAGCTCCTGCTTCACTCAGCCACTGCAAACGGTGTTAGCTTTCAAAGCTTAATTAAACTAATTATTAAAAAGATCTTTCACCATTTAGTGTAATGAGCTGGTGTTCCCATTTGAAGTTCCTTACTGACTTGAAACTTATTTCTGCCCTGGATTGGGCCATATTAGCAGCACATTTTACTAATTAAATAACTAGCTAATCACCATCTATTGAAGCTGTTTTGGAGAGGAGACAAAAGACCAAAATTGACCAACACTGGTGTTTGTTACTGAACTGTTCATAGTGGAACCTCATTAAATTGGCCTTGTCTATTGGGAGTAGGGTTTCTTATTGTTCAATTTTACATTCTTTTCTGTCACACATGGGGAAGTCACAGTAACTACCTAGATGTCTGAGTTCAATGAAAGGAGCTCTCAACCTGTCTTTTTATGGAGTTCATCTCTGATGAGCAAAGAAGGAAAGTCAGGTCCAGTGCAAAGTTTAAATCACTCAAATTTTGTTGTTGGAAACTCCACAAAGGACAGTCTGGTGTAATCTGTTAAATGGACTCTGTCTGCCAAAACTTGGTAGAGGTGAAAGGGATATGATTTCCCGGCCCTGCACTCATCAGAGGTATTTTGGGGGAGCTGACTATACTTGGTGCCTCTACAGACCTCCCAGCGTGTGGTGAAGAGAGTTAGTATATTTGTCAATTTAAAAAAAAAAGATTGTGGGACATACATATGAATCAAGAGGTATCTTCACACTCCAAGGCAACTGCTCTTTCAACTGGGAAATGCAGTCTTGATTTTGAGGAGTGGTCTGTGCTTTTGCTATTTGAACAGGTCACTCATTGAAAGAAGCCAATTGGTTTGTTTGAAAACCTGCTTCTCTATTGGACCAATGAGTCCTCAGAGCTTGATGTGCTAGCCTTGTGTGTGCAAAACATTGGCACCACCTTGAGCTATAAGTGGTGTGAAAGTGAGTCCATCTCTGCCCTGTGGTGTGTTCCAGAGTGGAGACTAAAGGAAGAACAGGTACTTCAGACATCTTTATCTCTGAGGAAGCACAGATCTAATAAGCTGTTTCATAATCATCTACTGATGCCTTTCCCCCTTCCTAGCAAGGAAGGAACCTACCCTAATTAGAGGCCTGCTCTTTTTAAAAACGCAAAAGCCAGGCAATTTGGACTGAAGGCTGAAATTTGTCCTTAGCTCTAAAGTGACGTAATCCAGTAGAGCTTGAAGTCTCATAGCTTCAAGAACAGACCCTTGCCAGGGCTGTGGTGTAGGATTTTATAGCTCAGAATGGACAGTGGGGTATTTCCAGACAAGTGTTGTGAGTTTCTAGGCTGCTTCGTTGCTGCCATTTGCATTTCTCTTTTGGTCGTGTTACTGGACAGGCTCTGTGGGCTGTAGCCCTGGACCTTTATGCAACTGAGAAGTGGTTCCTTTCACTTTTTTTTAAACTCATGATTCCTGTATTCAGTTAAGTGCAATTCACTTTGTAAATAGATTTATGCATCACTTGATTTTTGTGCATGGTTATTATGTATTGTGGATATAAAGATTGCCAAACCAAATTGTGTGTGAATTATTTTGTTCTAAACAGTCTTAGAATAATATGGGGAATCTGTTGCTTTTGGACCTGGGGAGGTAACAGAACTGAACTACCAAAAGTGAGGCTAGCAGCTCCTCTGCTGACTTTGCCAGTGATGTGACCATTTGGGGAGATCTTACTAGTATGAGATACTGAGCTAATGGACGTGCAAGACACAACTGTGAAGGACTAATGCTGTTCCTTGAGCAAATGTTGCATTGACCCCTTCTCTTTACAGCTGGGGTGGGCAAAATCAGGCCTGGGGCTGGATCTAGTCGGCCCAGCGGATTAGCAGAGATGCAGACTTACAGCCGGGCAGCATGTGGTCATCTGGCCCTCCCTCACTGTGCTCTGTCCTGCTCCCAGGATTCTCCTGCTAACTGTGCGGAGGGGAGTGGGAGCGGGAGCACTGAAGTCACCGGGTCCCTCTGACCCTGTACTTCATCTCTGCAGAGCAGGTGTTCGAGAAAAGCCTCTTTCAGAAGCAAATTGGAAAAAGATATGCAATTTATCTAGACATAGCCTAGAACTAGATACAGTATCAGTGCAGAGTAGAGTGGAAGAATTACTACTGGTGTCTTGCTTACAACATT